GGGAGTCACCGTTTCGTGCGCGAAAACGGATGCAACGGTTGTTTAGCCTTCACCAGAAGAGATAACAATACTGTAAATATGCATGTTTTTCGATTTGAGTCACTTGACGTCAGCTTTGCATGAAAGTGCGCGTTCCATATTCGCAACGTGCCGTTTTTAACCTTTAAAATTCCGGTTTCTGGTGTTAGGACACACACGGACGTTTAGGAAGATGGGGAGAGTTAGGAATGTCGGATGTGCAACGTCGAGCATGATAGTTCTGTGTTTAACGAATACTTTTCATCAGTGTTTACTAACGAGTGCTTGGACTTCGTCCCCACTCTCCCTGAACAGCTTTACAAGCGCATGCATCCTATTAACGTTAACTCCGCTGGTATTAAAACATTGATTGATAAACTAAAACTTACTTCGTCCGCTGGAACCGATAACATCAACCCTAAAATTTAAAAGAAACACCCGTGTTATTTCTAGTGAGTATTTGAAACTCATCTTCATTCAGTCCTCATCTCAAAGCTGCCTTCCATCTGACCAAAAGGAGGGAAGGGTAATTCCCAGTCTTTAAACAGGGCAGCCGCTCTTCCGCATCTAATTATCGCCCTAATTCATTGACTTCAATTTCTTGCAAACTACTTGAGCATATCCTCTACTCCAACATCATGAGGCACCTATCATCCCATTTCTTTTCTTTAAACAGCAGCACGGTTTTCAAAAGGTACTTTCCTGCGAAACGCAACTCTGCGACTTCATCCATGACTTGCACACTAACCTTGAATGTCACGTCCAAACTGACGCAGTTTTTTTTTTTTTTTTTTTTTTTTTTGTTCCAAAGCGTTTGGCCGTGTCCTCCATCAACGCCTTCTTTCTAAGCTATCATCTTTTTGCCTCGACCAATAACCGTTTGCATGGATTCGTGACTTTCTTTTTTCCCGTGTACAGGTCACGTCCATGATGATCATGAATCTTCCTTAATAAATGTATCTCCTGGTGTTCCCCTGGGGTTCGTACTTGGGCCCTTACTCTTTTTAATATTTATTAATGACATTCCCATTGGGATTTCTTCAAAAAAAACGCTTTTTCGCCGACGACTGCGTCATCCATAACAAAGTAATTTGTGTGCAAAATAATAACCAGCTTCAGGAAGATCTAGATAAAATTAACAATTGGTGCAAAGAGTGGATTATGTCACCAAACAAGTATAGACGCAAACTAATCCACTTCACCAAGAAAAAAACCACTCTGTCATTTAATTACTTCTTGGACTCCGATCTGATTGAGACCGCTACTGTGTATAAATACCTTGGTGTAAGACTAACATCTGACCTTCCCTGGAATAACCACATTGAAGTCATTACCGCCGATTCATCTGGAACTCTTGGACTAAGCAGACGTAACTTAAAAAATCGCTCCACCCTTTGTCCCTAAGCTAACCTTTAACACGTACGTCAGACCAAAAATAGAATATGCTTCAACCATCTGGAATACCCATCGACTGTACCTCATCAATACGCTGTAGAGGCAGTTCAGAACAGAGCTGCTCGCTTCATTTCATCCACTTATGACTTTTCTTTCAGTGTCTCGGCGCTAAAAACTGAACTAACCATGTCCTCTTCGCAGCTTCGCAGGAAAGTCTCTCAGCTGTGCCTTATTAACAAAATCTACTACCACACTCCCGACCTCAAAACCACTTTGTTATTACCCCTCGACCGAACATCTCGCCTCAACAACGTCTGCACCATCAAACACACTTCTGGCTCTATGAACGCTTTCAATTGGTCATTCCTTTCTCAAGCCATCAGCCACTGGAACAGTCCCCCATCCTCCATTGTCACCATCTTGGACCCTGCTGATTTCTCCTCGGCAGTAAAACTACACCTTTCTTGGCCCATGTGATGGTGTGCGGGGCTAGGCAGATCAGTGAAAACACTTACGCAGAGCGCTTGCCAGGCCAGACTTGTACGTAGTTCAACTACTTTACTCAAGTTACTGTAGTTTAACTACTTTTCTGGGTAGTTTAGTAACTTTTAATTACATTTCTATTCTAGTAATCAGTAGTTTACTTTAACTACTTTTCCGAGTGACTTCCACTCAAATTACAAATTACTTTCTAATTTTAGTGGTTGTTTTGCCTATCAACAGAGAACAGAGGTCGGAAGGTCAGCTGATATTTGCAGAGGGGGAAGCATGCGGAATAGAAAAGGGGGGGATGGGAAGGAAGAAAGTGATTTAGATAGTCCAAAAAACCCCAAAATTTTAACGAGCCCCCCCACTGCAACAACACTGCTACGAGGCGCGGGGAGCGAACAGACACGACGCAAGAGAGGTCGAGTAACTGTGGGATTAGCTCCGAATAGTGGCGTTTCTTTGTATTCCGAAGCTCAAGGAGACTTGACGCATTTGACGAAAGGGCTTGTCCCCGCTTCTCTCCAATGTAGGAATTCTTGCCCACTACAGGAGGTGCACACACTGCTCCTTTTACGGTGCAGGCGATAGAACCCCTAACAACGACGCTCACGCCGGATGGGCTGCTCGTGTATCACTCGAAGCGCGTTAACCCACCCCCGCGCCTGCGTTCACGCCGCTTCGCGGTGACAGTGTGCGGCTGCTAATTACAAATCTATTAACCCACCTAGCCCCCCCACCCCCCGTACACGCCGCTTTGCGGCGTCCGGTCGGCAACCCAAGCCCCGCTGCCCCCCATGCACTTCCGTAAATAGAGTCGATACGATTTAGTTTAGCGATGTTTCGTCAACAACATTCGTTTTTTTAGTGTTAATGGTAAAAAAGAAATGTAAATATCGCCAAATGCCTCGACAAAACAAAATGTTCGAGAAAAAAATAAAAAGAAGTAAGCCGGCCCACACCATAAATAGAACCCGGGTCTGACACGTATGAGGCAGACATCTCACCACTAAGTTACGCTACCTCTTCGGAAACTCGCATTGCATCCGCTGCCTATGTTGACGGCGGCAGCGCCTATCTCCAAGCAAGCAAGCAAAACTTTATTTTGTGTAAGGGCCTACGTCCTGGTCTGGACGGCCCGTCGGGCCCATGTCTCGCGGATGGATTCCGTAAGGTTACCGTGTAGCCTTGTTCGTGGAGCAAGGCTTTACGAACCAGCCAATCCGGCGTGCGTGAGCACCGTTGCTAGGGTTTGTATCGCCTGCGCGTTAAAAATATGCCCGCGCGGGTCGGGGGGCAGTGCCCTTGGTATTCCTTGGGCGCCGCAGGCCTGTGTCTGCTCTGCCCAGTGGCGGCCGTTTCAGGGGGGGGCAAAACGCATGCCTTGCCCCCCCACTCTGAGAACCGGGGGGGCAAGTGCCCCCCTTGCCCCCCCGGTTGGTACGCCCATGAAACCAGCACAGAGCACAGCGCTCCTCGGTCGTGCAGCGCGATGTCGGTGCAACATCGAGGACAAACTGCGCCGCGCCGGTGCACCGCGGCGAGCTCCACCTTGCATCACTTCACGTTTTGTTCGTTTTTTCTTGCGCAGTTCAGCGCACGGTGCCCGTCTGCTGTCAATTTCTTCTATTCTTTTACTCGCGGATTTGACGGTCCCACAGAAATAAACATCGTGGACGTGATTGTCGATGGGGTCACGAAGCGGGTGACAATTCCACATGTATATGTTGGCCATCATTATTGGTTCAAAAAAACGAAACACCAGATAATAGCCGTACCTCGCTGTCATCGAAACGCCTCGCGCCGCTTACCACGAAGTTCGTGCTTTCCGGGCGCTCCTTGCCACCGCAGCAATCGCCAGTAATCACAGCGATTGGGAGAGGCTTGTCGTCTCGCCGTCAGAAGACCCGAGGAAATCATCTAGTGCAGCTGCGAGGCGTGTTCGTTTTTGCAAGATCGCCATCTCGGTATTCTGCGCGTCTGCTACTCCCGCCATCTTCTCGATTCCCGCTCCTGGCCGCAATGCCTGATGGGACTGCCCCCCGGCGCACCGCCGATTTTCTTGGTGCGCGTTGGGGCAACGAAAAGCCGCACCGGGAGGGTGCGCTTCGTTGATCGAGGATGTCTGGTGCGCACCGGTGCAATTGATCGAAGATGAAGGGGTGCACCTCAGTGCCCCGGTGCGCACCGGTGTGGATGATCGAGGATGCTATACACGTTTGCAAGTCCGGTCTCAGAGCGCCGCCATCTTCCTCAGTGGGGTGCGCTCTCGGGAGAGGCCAAAATCCGATTACGACTAGGGGTGTCGCGAACCGGCCGCGGTTCGAGTTCGACCAGGTTCGACTTTTTCGAACTTTTAGTGGAAAGTTCGTCGAACCTTGTATTAAGGTTCGACTCGTGTGCGTATGCGCGACAGGCTGGCCAGTTGGCTTCGGATTGGATTGTAATGGCTAAGAGATGAGTTAAGTGCAGCGCTGATCGGCTATTTCAGTCAATACAGTACTAAAATTTAAGTTATTAACTTCTTCAGTGAATAGAATTAGTTTCTTTTAATTGCAGTTGTTCACACAATAAAATAACCTTTTGCATAAAAAAAGAAATTCTCCAAACCTAGACATGCTTGTATCAAGGTCTGGCCACACTGTCCACAAAGTCGAACCGGTCGAAACTGGTGAAAAGTTCGAAGGTTCGTCGAACCGGTTCGACCCAGTCGAACCCCGAAAGTTCGACCAAAAAATCTGGTTCGACAAAAGTTCGCGACACCCCTAATTACGACGCCTTAGCAAGGCTTCGTAATCGGATTATGACTGGTCCAAGCGCACCCCAGACAGGCAAGATGGCAGCTCCCTGAAGCCGGACTTGCAAACGTGTATAACTTTCAAAGCAGCGAATGTCCGTGACAATTTTTTTTCGTTGGTCACCTCGCACGTAGATAGGCAAAACCAATGCATGTTGGAGAATTTGTCTGCTAGCGGAGACTCCGAGCTCGCCAGGGGCGCTGCAATCACTTTTCGCCCGTTTTCTGCGGGAGTTGTTAAAGTGCCTCAGTGATTTTATTTTATTTCAATAAAAAGTACCAGAGGCCATAGCCAGAGGCAGAGCGCCCGCCACCCTGTTCTAAAATAAAGGGCCGCCAGGAGGACACCAGTCGGATCGCACGGTTGCGGTAGGAATTAGTGGCGCCCTATCCGCCCTATCTTCCAGACCGGAGCCAACGGATGCCAGCCAGAGGAGTCGTGGCTTCAAAATGTTGGAGAACTTGAGGGACAAGTTACACAGCGTACAGCAAGACTTGAGCTTGAGGTGAGTACGCCTTTTTTCTCCGGCATTGCATGCAACCGTTGCGGGCAGCGCATTCATTCGCTTCACGGCATTTCACGTTCGGTGGAACTTGTGAATTGCAGTCTGAGAAATCTGACGCTCGGCGATCTCCCCAAGTAAGTATTTTGCTCGGCGTCGAGCGAACACTGCCGCGTGCGGTAACTGCTGTGGACCCGCAGATCCGGGCCGGGCTGCGAGAGGAAGCTGGTCAACGCCGGAGCAGAACTCCTGCATCAGTAAGCGCTTCTGGAGGGCTGTGGCGAGCTTTGCAATGTCGCTCGCCCCGCAGCTACCAATCCCGCTGGGAGGAGCTGCACGGGTACAACGAGGCAAATGCCCGGCAGGCCGAAGTGAGTGTCCCTCGAGGCGCAGTGGGAGCCATGGCGGTGATCGCCTTGTCTCGCAGGCGGTGGACGCGCTGACAGCTGGCCTGCACCGACACTGCCAGCAGCAGCTGGCCGGCATCCAGCAACTCTGCCTGCAGGTCGCCCAGTTGCCCAAGCTTCAGCAGGGGGTCCAGGAACTCATGAAGACCATAGGTAGCCTCTTCCAACCCCCCACAGCTTTTTGGTCCCTTTACATTGTCTTACCGAATCACATTGAATCATCTGTGCTTTACATTAAGCTTGGCAAACACTCGAAGGGGTAACCTTAATAAGAAGTCCCATTCAATACGGAAACGGGGGGAAAAAGCTGTTCAACAGCTTGACGGAGCCCCCTGCTTTACAGTTCCATATTAAAGTACAAAGCAAAAATAACATTGTGTACAAAAAAAATAGATTACAACCTATTGTACAAAACCAATATATTCAATTCGAATAAGAAAATAAGTCTTGCATTGTGACAGACATTTTAGCTAGGGTTCAGAGTTTTCGGTTTAAACCGATAAAAGTACGCCGAATCCATTTTCGGGAATTCGGTTTTAACCGAAAAAGGTCAGTTCGTAGGTTTGGTGTTTTCGGTTTAAACCGATAAAAATCGACTAAAATATGTCTAATTCGTTTTTTTAAATTCGGTATTAGCCGAAAAAGGTCCGTTTTTTTAGAGCCGCGTCAAAGTGGGGGGGGGGGAGGGGGGGAAGGGAAGGGAGGGAGGGGAGTGGAGGGAGAGAGAGACAGGGCATTGCAAGGTTTGACACCGTGTGACGTTTTCGTGATTGCCCTCTTCCAAGGTTTAACATGCAGCAAAAGAGGACTTGGATTGGCCTTTGTGGGATCTGTGTCCTTTGTGTGATCGGACTTAGTGTGTCAAATTCCCGGTCATAAAAAAAAAAGTTTGGGTGTGGGCTAGTGTAAGGTTTCCTTATACGGATGTGGGCTAGTATAGACCATTCCATTTAGCGCTCTCTGGGCGGCACCATTTTGTTCGACAGCAGCGCCCTCTCCATACATCCGGGAAATTCAGCGGGTTCGGCAAGGTAAAACGAGAGAGAGGGCATACGCCGGACTCCGCTAGCAGACGACAAAACGGGAGGTAGCCATTCTCCATCTTTGGGCTGTATCGGCGGGCTGTACGGAACATCAAACTCTCGCTCGTGGCTGCCGTTGTGAAATGGTTCGCGTTCTTAGAATAGTTATGGCTACTCCAAAATCAGCCTAGAGCTCTCTGTTCTACTTCGGTAAATGATCAATTGAAACATCTTTTTCCCCTTACTTAAATAGCAGTTGAGTCAACCGGCAGTGCTTCCCTTAACTACTGCGTGTATTGCGGCAGGAGGGCACGTTTTTATTTAATATTTCAGACATCCACTCATGGTTGCTAAAGGCCTACTCCAGTACGAACTTCGTATAGTAAAAGAGGGTACAGCCATCGGATTCACTTTTCGCTGGAGAGACCGCCAGTCTGACACAGTTTTCCCTATTTTCTTTTTTATTTGCACGCAGATAACAGCGCAATTGGACTCTGTTAGTCTTTTTTATCTAGCACAGTAATACACGACAACTGGCATACGAAAATCTGCACATCTGCGCTTGAAATTCCCAAAATGACGCGATTTGAAACAGAGTTTGTACGCCAGCCGGATGCTAGGTACTGCCCACTCGACGGAGCAGACGACATGCGGGCGAGAGGGGGAGGGCATTTTTTTCTCTTTTTACCCTCTCTGCTATGACCCTAATGGAATGGTCTATATGTTCCCTGGGGTTGGAAACAAACACAATGGATATTTTTTTTTTTTTGCCATTCCGCTGGTTTCTGCACAGTCATCTCCTCAGATGGTCTCGTTGTCAGAAAGGGAAAGAAAAAACAAGCGCGCTGAAGGTTATGCTTGCGAATTCCTCGATTTTGAGGGGTGTCCTGACGGAAGTTGTAGCAAAGACCGTATCTGTGCCGTTATTCTTTGACTGATCGCAAATATCGCAGCTACAAGGAACATCTGATCCGATGGTGCTTCTTTCTTATTCGCCGAAAAAACTGGTAAACCTTTTGGGGAATAGATAGACCTTTTTCTTAAGGGCACCGCCATCTTGAAATATCGTCACTTCTAGTATGGGTGAGAGCATTGTTTTGCCACGCTTATAGAATGCATCTAGGAGATGAGCGTCACCCATCCTCGTTTTGTCTCCCCTCTATTTTTTTACTATTCGCAGGTTGAAACGTTTTCATATTTTTTCGTCACCCATACCGGATATGCCTACTTGGCAGCGGGGGCGAGAGTAGGCGGAAAAGGTCTATACACCAAAGAAAACAAAAAATTTAATTTTAAAATAAACACCGAAAAAAGTAGGTCAAATTTTGAAAAAAAAAGAAAAACCAAAAACGTGGAACCCTAATTATAGCAAAGTTTTTGTTCAAGAGGAAATTCAGCAAAGCAGATAGCATATACTTTAGAGCCTGCATGGAATATTTGTTATGCCAAAGAAGCACAGCCCAACTTGAACACGTTCCCTTAGTTTAGAAAGTTTGGCCTGAATAATTTTTTTTTTTTTTTTTCTACCATAAAGCGGACCATAAGTTTATACCGATACATATAGAAAACACGCAATGAATTGCGTGTTTTCGACACGCGACACTCGAGGTATGGATTCTTCACCGACCTGTAATGTTAGCAAACATTTTTTTTGTGAATGGGCCTTAAAGGGCAACTTCGGTTGAAAATGAAACTAAAATGAATTACTGGGATTGCTTTAGTAACAGGAAATGTGATGAGAACCAAAATCTTAGGTCCAAGTTGAGCAGCGTACTCCACGAAAACCAACGAGGTTGAGGGCCTTAGAGCGATACGCCCACAGCTCAAAGTGACCCCCGATGTACCGCTGCCATGTTGCACCGTTTTGGACCTCTAGACGCGTGACCTTGGAGTTTTACGTCTAGATTTCAACCAAGTACCGTGCACGAATAATTGCTTATTGATCTTTAACAAGAGTACCGACGAGATAAGTTTCGTTTGTTTGAACTCCAAAATGTGCTTTTACGACTCTGGCAGCTTCACACCGACTCCTCTAGATGCCGTCAGCCGCGCTGCTGTAGTTACTGGGTTTTTATGGGACAGCTAGACACTGATCTCTGGGGCTAACAGTATGGAAAAAATAGTTCATTGTGTTTTTTTACAGCAATTCGAATGCGAACCTCGGCTCAGTTTTGCGTAAAAGCCTCGGAATTTGGTACGGTCACGTGCCTTGTGGTCAAAATTGTACAACATGGCGGCAGCCAAGTGGGGGTCACTTTTGCCTGGTGAGTAGGAGACCAGTGTATTGCTCTAAGCCCCTGTATACCTTGTTCACTAAAACCCTTTTTAGAGATGCGACCAGCTTGTGACACCCTTGTGACATCGCGTCGCGGCAGAGCTCCGGTCGATTGGTCGTGTTGCATATTGCAGCACTCTTATGACTTCACATCGTTTGCGTTGACTGAAACCCATTTTGGAGTCAAGGAACATTGGCACAACAACCTTGTGATGTCGCATTGCGGTGGAACTGCGGTCGATTGGCTGTGTCGCGCACTGCAGTGCTCTTGAGACGTCACATCATGCACTCTTGTGACTTCACATTGTCCACTCTTGTGACATCACGTCGTTTGGCGTTACAGCTGATAATCAGCGTTGCCATCCCTCTAGCAGTTAGTCTTGGTGTCGCCGGAGACGCTCCAAATCAAACTTTGATCCGCGATATTTATGAAACTACACGCAGTATTAAAAAAAAATTATATGTTCTAATGCAGGGACACTGTCTAGCAGAAAACAGTCATTATCTTAAATTCAAGAGTATTGACCGTTTTTCTTAAAAGAGACACTGACGGGGTATTTATGCTCGCCAAGGTTTTTATGGGTACATTACATATGAGAGCCCAACTACCCAGAACACGATTTGCGGCTCTTTCCACCCGTAAACCGCCGATCGTGAACTGGCCGGTTTGAGTTGCGCCTACTCTCTTCTGCATAGTCACGAGCCGTTTTCTGTGGTTTAGTCGCAACCGCCAAAGGCAATCAAAGTTGTGGGTCATCAAAGGCACACACTCAAAACTAAAGATGGACGGAAAATATCATACCGATTTTTTTTTTTTTGCTTCTAAAAAACTGGAAATGGGTTAATTTAAAAAAGAAAAAAATGTTGCACAGTGAGGTGATTTTTAGTAACATTCTCCTTCTCTGTATTTCTTCTTCTTCTGTTCGGTCTAGAGCAGTTGCGTCTTTGTACTTTATTACAAAATGTATGTAATGCCGTAGCAAAATATTGATTGGGTAGTCTTTTAAAAACCATAACAGAACTCCTAACGAAAAAAACAAAAAAACAAATGGGGGGTGTTTCAGTGTTTTTTTAAAGCAAACTAAGGTAAGAACTATGGGCCAGGAGAAGGGCAATTTGTCTCTTTTTTCTTCCAAGTTAAATTGTTAAATTCTATATTAGAAAAAAAAAATATATGAAAGCGAAAAGGCAAATTCGAGTGTTTTTACGTAACGTGTTTCGGGCCTCCAGCATGCATCTTTTCGACGCCTGCTCTGGCTGCACATTCACGCTGTTTTTTCCAAAAGACGAAGCCCCGGGAGGCTTCCGCTAACGACACCGTCCAAATTGCGTCGACAAAGTCTAGAGATTCGTTTTGGCAATGGTTCAGCCTTTGCGAGATTAAAAAGCGGCAGTCGACAATACTAGTCAAAGAAAGAATAAAATCACTTCGGGACAAGGACAGACAGCACAGGTCTTTCAGCTAGCAACACACATTTAACTAAAGAGGAAGATACAAAAAAATTGGCACGTAAAGGACGCTCAAAACACGCTCGTGATCGATGCTTTCCTAAAGGGCTTTAGATGTCAGAATAATTGCTAAAATACTTGTATCGAGTAGGCGTGGGCGAATATTCGGTTATTACGAATAGCCAATCGAATTCTGTTCTATTCGGCATTCGCTTCGAATCAAATTTAAGTATTCGACAATATGGAAATATTCAACAATATCGAAATATTCGACAATACAGAATTATTCCACCTTTCCAAATACAGTCAAACCCGACTATATCGAACCCGTTTGCATCCAATCATTTCTTATATCGAACAATTTTTGTGCACAGTAATGTTACAGGGATAATATATAGCAAAAACTA